TTTTTGAACAATTTTTCAAGCAAGGGAAGGGAATGATCTGAGCATGCAGGAGGACTGATCCATCATAAACCTTTGTCGGCTGTGCTGAAGAGAAAGGTACAGAACCAAATTATTTAATTAATTAGCTGCACGTTCTCCTGTCCTCTGTCCTCCGGAACACACACACACACACACACACACACACACACACACACACACACACACACACACACACATAAGGGACTGTCTCAGCTGTTATTTTCGTTAAGGAGTGTGCACGTACAGCATGCGCGCCTCGTGCACGAGCCTACTATTGAAGCTGCCGTTACGCTTTTGGCCTGAGGGGGCGATCACGAGCATAAAAATTCTAAACTCCGTAAAGTCCCTTTAAACCCAGTTTCCAAAGGTCTTAAATTACCAAAGACCCAATAAACAAGATTATTTTATTTCTATTAAATTTTCGTGAATTTCTAGTTAGTGTTCAGCATTTTTTGTGTATGATGTTGGCGTAAGCGGAACTGTACACATTCAGTTGGTTGTGAAAGGGGGTTATTTTTAGATGAGCACATTAGCTGGTTAAGCTAGTGGGAGCTTATGCCATGGAGAAGTGCAACATTAATGGTAACTGGATGGCTAATCCCACGATCGCGACGTGGTTAGCACCGGTTCCAGGCAATAGCTGGAAATTATAGCTTAAAATTAATTTTATAAAATAGCTTAAATTTGGTCAAATTGGCCTCAAAAAAGGTCTTAAATTTGGCTCCCATAAACCTGCAGATACCCTTAAAACAGAACCAGGAAAGTTTAATACGTCCAACCTCCTCACACGTTTGAAGCGGCATCACAAAACACGGCATGAGGATTTTTGCGATGTGTGTTTTTTATTGCAGGGGTGATCAGCAGACTTCTCACCTGACAGCTGCTACACACACACACACCCACACACACACACACACACGCACATGCACACACACACCCGCACGCACGCACACACACGCACGCACACACACGCACGCACGCACACACACGCACGCACGCACACGCACGCACCCGCACGCACACACACACACGCACATGCACACACACACCCGCACGCACGCACACACCCGCACGCACGCACACACACGCACGCACACACACGCACGCACGCACCCGCACGCACACACACACACACGCACACACACACACACCTACACACACACACACACACGCACATGCACACACACACCCGCACGCACGCACACACACGCACGCACACACCCACACGCACGCACACACACGCACGCACATGCGCACACACGTACTCACTCACTCATGCACACACACACCCCCACGCACACACACACATGCACATGCACACACACGCACACACACACACACACACGCACTCATGCACGCACGCACGCACACACACACACACACACACACACACACACAGTCACATTTCTATTGCATTCTAAGAATTTGTTTAGTTTCATGAGACAAAATCTGGATTCGGATGGTTCTATTATTAAAGCAAAGACTACATCCTTTAATCGTTTCTCTATTTTTGGCAGCTACAGACGCATCAATCCTGTTTTTTTTCACCATTACATCAGAGCATCACTTCCTGCTGTGAGTAAGCGCTGGAAACACTCAGTCCTCTGAGAAACAAAACATTTTTATGGACTAAAAAGGAAGCAGCACCACTTTTATGCTGGATGCTGACTCATTGTTGGAGCTCTGAGTTTGACATCAGCCGCTTGTTTTACGACGTCCTGCGGTGAAAAACCACTAAACCCTGAGCGCTGCGAAGACACACGTACTCACACATTAAACCACACACATACAAACACATGACCACAACCGTCCACACACACACACACACACACACACTGGGCTGCATCCTCAGACCGCATGGGTCCACGTGGCCTTTTGGGCTCTGAACAGGCCCTAATTCACACACAGAAAAGACTCTTTGTGATAACTGAACAGCCGCATCATCCTGGATGATCATTTCTCCTTTGTTGTTATACATCAGAGCAATGCATCCTGGTACTTTAGTCCTTGAGGAATGGCCCGCCCCCTTTTTTTTTCCAATGAAATCCACTGACTGACTGTTGAAGAAAACCATCTTGTGAGTTGTTTTCTGACATTAGTGCAATAAAGATGATTACTAGCTTTTGTTTCTGGATGTTTTATCGTAGTTGTCAGCGTCTCAGCGGCAGTAGACAGGAGTTACAGCGGACTAACAGGAGCTCAAACTAAAAGTTTATTATGATTAAAAGTGCAATAATTAGTCATTCTACAGTGAAATAGTTACAAAACACGCTAATATCTCAATCATGTGGAAAGGAAGGTTACATTGAAACAGATTTCCTCGGTGCCGATACAGATACCAATACCAGTATCGGTATCGGTAAAAGTTAACCTATACCAATACAGTTGCTTGAAAATGGCTTCACTGTAACTTGTTGTTTCTGTTCACCTAATATTTTAGTTTAGTGATGATTTCCATTCATATATTTTACTTTTTATCTACCTCACAGTCTTTTCCTGTTGAAAACAGAGAAGAAAATAAAATCTGTATTTCAAATCATTGCATTTTTTTGTGTGGTAGAAGTATCGGTATTGGCAATCGGTATCGGGGAGTACTCAGATCCAAGTATCGGTATCGTATCGGTTTGGAAAAAAGTGGTATTGTTGCATCCCTAGAGCTAACACTGCAGCGCCGGCTTTTGTAATACGACACCGGCCAGGAAAACACAGCAGTGTTTGTTAAGGATCAAAGCCAGTGAACAGGAGCGACCCAGAAGTTGTTTATTGTACCCCTAAGAAGCCACGGCATCTCTATGTTTTACTCTGATATCAGGTGAATCAGGCTAGACGCTAATGTTGAGCTAACAATGCTAACGGTGAAATAGAAGCAAATGGTCTGCGTAAAGAGCAACTCACCCCAAATCAAAAATTTTTGCTGATAAACTATAGAAATGCGTGTCTAACCGTGCTGCAGACACGTGCCATCAATAATTTGGCACTTTAGTGCATTTTAGTTA